GGTGGTGATGGTGGTGGTGAGGGTGGTGGTGGTGATGGTGGTAGTGGTGACAGTGGTAGTGGTGGTGGTGGTGATGGTGGTGGTGGTGATGATGATGGTTGTTGATGATGGTGATGGTGGTGGTGGTGGCGCTGATGGTAGTGGTGGTGGACCTGGTACATAGCAGTGAGAGAAGCTAATCCAATGACATCTGACAATGAAAGTCCCTGATGTGGTACCCACTCCCAGGAAAGCTTGAAGAAGTATGGTCACCTTACAGAAAAATCCTGTGGGCTATAGGCTAGGATGACAGAGACGTATGTGAGCTGTCAGGGCCTCCTTGATCCCCTGCAGTCCCAACACAGAAACCCCTCCCACACCTAGGCCACCTCAGCTTGGTCCTGGAGCTGAGTATCTGCTCATATCCAGCTCACCTTCTCCAAGGAGCTCAGGATACTTTTTTAGGATTTCCAGGTCACTTTCCATATCCCACTAAATGCCTATGAGAGCGCCCAGAGGGTACGACTGTGCTCATTTTGCAGCAGGAAGATTTTCTCAGCATTGATGGAGGAAGTAATCTGTGGCCATAATTAGGTACACAGAAGGAGCCAAATTCAGGCTGCTTATGCTCAGCCCACTCATGCATTCAAGGCACTGAGTAATGCTATTGACCAAGGCAGACCCAGCCTCTGATCTCATAGAGCTCACATTCTTGTGAATATAATATTCATTTCCAACCAACGAAGAAAGCAACAACTGATAACAAAATAAAACATTAAGAAAAATAACCTTATCCTCTCAGGATTCCCAACCTGCCACCTGGAGAGCAAGGTCCGGTCCTGGTAGCAAAAGGGCGGAGCATCTTGCCCATCTGCCATTTTGATCTGAAAGACTCAGACTACATCAGTGGCCATCAGCGCAACCCAGAGCTCCGAGGATCTGGTGGGGGAGCTCTGGATTCAAACATCCGGGTGATTGAGTTCACCACTGTGGGCATAGGAGGGAAGAATCTCCGGTGAGTTGCTTAGGTTTGCTTTGATCGAATTCACATCAGTCCTAAAGAACTCTAGAAGAATTCAGATTGAAGAGCTAGGCTGATTCCTATAAGTAGGCTTGATGTCCTGGGGTTTGACCTTTTAGAGGTTTGACTTTAGAGAACTGTAACATTAAGAAAGCTGAATTCTATCTCCTTAGTTTTGCCACTGGGGAAAATATGGAAGACATAAAAATGTAATCCCTGACCACCTTCTTAACCACAGAGGATCACTGGCACAGTTATGCCCTTGGTAGCATTATCATCCCAATGTCCAGAACACTACACTGACTGTGGATCGCTAGAGGAGATGGAGTTTTCATTTCCACAGTAACAAATGGCTCTGAACAGTTCTGCTTCCCAGATGGGGGACTAGGTTAGAGCCAGGTTCTAAGAAACTTCTCGTAATCCTCAATCCCCTCTCTCACTCTCTGCTGTTAATTCTTCCCCACTGGCCAGGTCCTTTACAATCCTAAACCCAACCAATAGCACGTACTCCTTCTGCTGGACCTCTGAAGAAACTGAAAGTCTCCAGAACCCTGCAGCGTTCACATGTCTTACCGAGAAGGGCTTCATCCACCCTGAAAAGAAAGCTGAGGTATGTGCAAATGAGAACCACTCAACCCAAGGCTTAGATCATTCTAACCACTGCTATGTAGAAAGTGTGCCATAGACAGTAAGTGGAATTAGGGAGAAGTGCCTAAGGGTGTGTCACTCAACAAGTATTTAGTGAGTGGCCACCATATACATTGGGCAATCCTGATGACAAGACAGACCTGAGCTCTCTTGGGTTAGCCAAGGAGAAGCAGAGAGCTCTCGTATTTGCAGCTTTTTAAAACTGAGAATATTTAAGCAGCAAAGGGTAACAGGACACCAATGCCTGGGGATCCTAGGACTCATTCCATAGAATAAAAAGTTATTTTTGTCAAAAGGACCAAAAACAGTGAAAGGACACTGACGTGTTTCTACTTGGTTAGGCCAAAGGTCAATTCAGAGTGGAGCCACGTCCCATTACTTAGTCCTAAATGTTTTCACAACGATATGGGGCAGAAGTAAAGAAACACGAACCTGCTGGCCAAAACAGATCTGTGAGCCTCATGTCCAGCCAGTACTGCAGAGAATCTTGAAGACAGAAATAAATCCATGAAACAAAAATTATGAATTCCAGTGCCCTCAAGAGTGTCACACAAATGAATAAATTAGGCCAAGGGGGCATCTGTGGGTAACACAGGGCACCAGGGCCACTGGCCACAGGGCTTCTCTGGCAGACGACCACTTTGCAGACAAGGTGGGTCAAGGGGACCAACTCACCCAAACTGTGGAAAAGACAAGATTCCAAATTTCTATGTGAAGCTCCCTATTTTACATGCTGGTGGCTAGTTCGATATTTTTTTTAACAATTCCCAAACCAAACAAAACATATCTGTAGACTCTCCACCTGGTTTTGACCTCTGCATAATGTCAGTACCCAGGCCATCTAGTTAAATGTGATAGGGTCTTGGAGCTGGGTCCACCGTAGACACAATCCTACCTGAATCATGGCTCCCAGTTCAGCCCAGAAGTGTTTCAAATGTGAGCTCAATTCTGAGAGGCAAGTTCCAAAATCCATCATCCAGGGCCATGCTGGTCTTTGAGTGACAGTAATGTCACTGAGGTGGCACATCTCCATAGCACCTCCCCACATCATCCTGGCAGTGGTGTGAACCATGCATGTTAACCTATGTGGTTCCTTTTTGGCCAAACGCCATTATTCCTTCATTTGGTCCTGACTGATTGATTGCAAAGAGACTCACCTAAGTGAGCTCAAGAGAGAGAGAGAGAGAGAGAGAGAGAGAGCCTGGGGCAGCTTTTGAGATTGGACTTTCCTCTTGGGACTGTCTGCTTCTCTCTTCCCATCTATTCCTTTCTCTCTCCACTGACCAGTTTCTTCACTGTTGATTGATTGATTCTTCAGTTGCTTTGTAATATTACTTATCAAATTGGTTATGGCATGCCATAGCCCAGTTCACCTGCATGGTATCTTTCACCATCAGCTCCACTGCCAGCTGGCCTGGCCACTCATTTTCTAATTCCAAACTTCCGAGAGAGAAATCTCGTTGGCCCTGCTAATCATATTGTCTTTGGCTGTGTGCCCAGCTATTGACAAGTATGGGGATTGTCTTTCCTTGGGATGGGTGCCAACTCTTTGGTTCAGTCAGCTATAGTACAACCATGCCATCCAAAGACATGGCACGAATACAATTGCTTAGCCAACAAAGGCTGTGGGTTGGGGGGACTCCCTTAGAAGAATACGTGAGCAGGGCAGATGGACATTGATATTTCTGATATAGCCTCACCTATGTGCCTTTACATGGATTGTAGAAAGGTAGCAATAATCAACTCTCATGACCCTCGTGCTGACAAGTCTCCAGAGGCACGTGGAGTAAGCAAACAGAAGTGTTTCTCACCACTTGGTTCCAAATTGTCTTCTTAGATCGTGTTCCAGTTCACACCTGTCCATCTGGACATCACTGAATCACTGTGGACCTTCCTAATCCCTGAACACAACATCACAGTCCCTTTCCTGCTGGTGGGCAAAACTACTGACCCTCTTATCTCTCTGAACAAGTCACACCTCAACTTCAGCTCTCTCCTCATCGGTAAGGCAGCCCTGCTGGTATGTATTTAGAGTTGGCATGATCTGGACAAGGTCATCAAGAGCTCCAGGAGCAGGCTTGCATAGGCCTTTCCTGGTGCCTTCCAGAAGAATATCAGAGGGTTTCAATCAGGTTTTAGAAAGCCAGCAAATATCACTGAGTCTGTAGAATGGCCCGGATACTTTTCTGTGGGCTGGGATTGCACTAATGGATAAAGCTCAAAGTCCCTACTCTCCTGTTGCTTACGTTCTAGAAATAAGAAACAGGCTGCCAAAGGAAACTATGTAAACTACACACCATGTCAGATGGTGATAAGTGCTTTAAAGAAGAGGACAGCAGGGTAGGGAGAATAAGGAAGGCCAGGAGGCAGTGGGAAGGTGACATTTAAGCAGAGACCTAAAAGAAACAAAGGAAGTAATTGCCAGGTCCCTTATAACCCCATGTATCTTTCCCATGGTTATGACATCTCTCTCTGTTGAGTGTATAAAATACAACTAAAGTCAAGGTATTTTTTAATAATATGTTAGTTTTTTTAATAAAATAATATTCTTTATAGTAAGTACACAAATGTGGTGTTGCATAAGAAAAAGTTTAATCTCTCCACTTTAATCCTGTCTCATCTTTCTCTTTCCACCCCAAAGGAAAGCAGTGTTGACAGCTGGATATGTATATTGCTGATACACATAAGCAGATGGGAGGGGGGATTACAGCGTTTATTAAGATTTTGAACAAATAAGCAAGCAATGTAGCATAAGAATAATAACTTTAAGAGTTTAATCCAAGAATTCAACAGTGGTACGTTTTGATATAATCATTTTAATCATCAATAGACTAAAGAACAACCATGTGATAATATTAATATACACTGACAAGCCATTGCCAACATTTAGCAGACATTCCCAACAAAAGCTCTTATAGTAAAATGGATGTTGATGGAAAAAAGGATTAACCAAAATCAAGACGCAGATATGATCCTGTAGTAAATGACTAAAACTACTTCAATTAAAATGAGGCATTAGGCAAGGATGTTTATTATCACCATTATTATTGAACATTTGCTTGAAGACTCTAGCAAATCTGATCAAACAAGAAAATTAAATAATTTATATAAACCTTGGGAAAAAAGGGATACAATTATCTTTTTTTGCTTTTGTTGATGATTTTATACACATAAAACCACGAGAGGCTCTAGAGAAAAGCAAAACAAACTACTAGACCCAACAGAATAATTTGGAAAGGTAGGCGGATGCAAGACAAATATGCAAAAATAGTGTTTCCCCTTTTAGCACTCGTACCTAGAAACAGAAAACCAAAGAAAACATCCACTTAGTACTGGCAAAACCTATACAAAATCTATCCTATAGCTAAGGATAAATGTAACAAAATATGCACAAGAGAAGACCTACATAAAGGAAACTATCAAATCTGATTAAAATCTCCCCAAACGAGATCGGATCATTTGTTAGTTCTCCTAAAATTAAAAGCAAATTTAATCAAGTTCCAATTAGAATGCCAGCTAGGACTGCCAGATAAAATACAGGATGCATAGTTAAATTTTGATTTCAAATAACAATAATTTCGAGTGTAAGAATGTCCAAATATTGCACGGGACATATTTATACTAAAAAATTATTTGCTAAATCTGTCAGCTGAATCCCAAAAGAATTGGAAGAGAAGAGAATTGGACACAATGATTATAAAGTTTATGTGGGAAAATAAATGTTCTAATAGCCAAGAGGAAAGCAAAAGATTACAGTGAGAGAAGATATATTAGTCAGGGCCCTGGCCAAGATAGTCATGCCATACCCAAGGTCTATTTTATATATATATATATATATATATATATATA